GGCCAGGGTGGACTGAGAAGTGTCACCGCAGGTATTTCCAGATGTTTCTACTCCATTGTTTTCTCCAGTTATCCAAAAAGGAATTCCGGATCCCATGGAACCATTTCAGCATCACTTTCAAAGTCAAGCCAGAACCAAGATGGGGGTGGCATGGGATGCTCGTGTTCTGTCCGCATTCTGTCAGAACCAACATTTCCATGCACAGTGGCCAAATTTATGACCAGTACCTGCATCTTCATGAGGAGACTGTCAGGCTGCTGGAGCCCACTGTGTCCACCCCATGATGGGGGCCTGACATCTGGGATGAGAGCAACAATCAGTGACTGCCTGGTGCAAGTATAAGCAGCTCAGCCTCCTCATCCCCCAGATGGAATATTTCTGATGCACGTGTTGCACACAATTTCCCATGTGTCCTCTGGGGATGAAGCTCCAGCTGTCTATTGTGATCACTGACTGGACAATGTGCTCCTTATTGGCTTCATTCTTCATATCTCCCTTTCCCATTCCCTTGCCAGGTCTCTGCACTTCCAAACTAAACTCACACCATTGGTCCCCTTCTCAGGCCTTGCTTCTGTGGGCATCCCACCTAGAAAAAGGGGTAGGATGTTAATGGCGGTCTCTTTAGACCTGCCTCTGACATACACAAAAGTCTTCTCTGTTATTGCAGGGTCCAGCTAAGGTCACTAGGTAGGAAACTAAATAGTAATGTGAAATCAAAAATCTATATGCAGTTATAAAGAAAGTCTCTTGTGTATACCTCTCTTAGAACCAGCAGTGATTTGAAAGGAGTAACTGATTATTACTTAGTGCTTTAAATAAGGGGTCAGCAAACATATCCATAAGGGCCGGATAGTGAATACTTGAAGCTTCGCAGGCCAGACATTCTCTGTTGCAACTACTTAATTCTACCACTGTAGTGAAAAGGAGGCAATCATAGACAATATGTAAAATGATGAGTGGGGTTATTTTCCAACAAAACTTTACTGACAAAAACAGAGGCCCAGATTTGGCCTGCTGCTGGTTGAGATCCTGCCTATCTTCATCTATTTAATAAAGTGTTCACCTTGCATTTAATTTCACATGCTTCATCCTTTGCCTTGCCCTCTCTGTCTTGACCATCCTTCCCACACATTTGTGTTTTCTGCTTGCAGCCCAGGGTTTCTTCCTCTGGAAATTTTTCCTTGACCCTGAAGGAAGAAATTTTTCCTTGACCCTCGAGCCTGGATTAGGGGCTTCTCATCCATTTTCTCCTATTACCCAGTGCTTACCTCTGTCTTGGTACTTACAGCCTAACTGATCATCTTTACTTCTACACATTTTTTTTAGTGAGAGGCCTTTCAGTTGTGACAGAAATCTATCTCAAAGTTGCTTCAACGCAGAAAAAGTTTTTTCTTCAGTTTGCATTTATTGGCTTTATGATTGAATTGCAAATGTAAAATCACTTTTAATTTTTCCAAAATCTGTTAACAGTCTTGCTCTACCGCAGTCCCTTTCCTCATGGGCATAATGACGTATTTCCCTGTTTGCCTGGGAGTGTTCTGGTTTACATCTTTTGTCCCCAAGCAATTATAAAAAGTGCCCCCTTTGACTCTCATTAGTGCCCTGGAATTTGCAATAAATTATATGATCACCTACTTAATGACATGCTAGTCAAATTTTCTAACTTCTTGGTCACTTTCAAGGACGAAGAGTTAGTCTTCTCTATTCATAAACTCATATCTCTTATTTTACCCCAGGTCCCCATACGGGGGAGTCTGTGGCAACTCTCCGTATGCTCATTCTCCTGCTCTGTCCTTGCTTCTCTGAATTTAGGAATGGGAAGAAAAGAGACAGAAGAAAAGGTATTTCCTTTTATGATTTTTTATAGTTGTTTTTTCATGACCTTTTGGACTTGATTTTATTATTCTGGCTTGTAGTCCCTTCTGTGTCATAGGACTATAAATACTGACTGTCTTGTGAGGACATATATGGATTATATTTTGGGGAAGATCTCAAGGGCACCCAACTTATATAGTCAGCTTCCTTGCAAGAGTCCTGTTTGAGGCTTAGTCTCTTCCCACTTCCCACCTTCACGGGTGGTCAAGCTCACAGCCTCTGGCTGCTGGGGCTCTCTAGACTGGCATGCAGCTCTCTTGGAAGATACTGGTAAGATGCTTTGAGATGATTCAAGACAACTCCTGTTGTATCAGCTCTGACTGTGGAAATGTCATCTCTTCCAGGTAGAGGTAGTGAGGGTTCCCCTTGGCTTTTCTTTCTTGGCTTTTTGGGTCTTTTCCTTTTGTTACAGATCAGCAATGGTCTCTCTGTTGGTTCAGCAGACCAGAAACTCATACAACAGATCATCGCCAGTTCCTGAGTGGTGGAGTAGTGATGGTGGTGGGAACAGCATGCTTTGTACGACTCTATCTTATAGGAAGAAAGGGGGCTGAGATTAGTTGAAAATTATCTTTAATGCTGGGGGTAGAAATATGAAATCATTGTTTTTTCATAATCTCTCTCTTCTTCCAAAAGACAAATTTCCTTTTCTGCACCTAGTCCGTTCCTGGCATCTCAAAGAAAGTGGAAAGGTACATTAAAGGGGGATAGAGTACACCCCAGGGCTTCCAGGTGGCTGTAGGGGAACTTAAGAGTTTTCTTGTGCCGGCTTCTCACATTTGTCTCATCACAATTGTTCCTTACTGTTGATTCTATCACAATTCATGGAAAATGGGAACATCTCTTACTTGACAGTTCATACTACCATGTTATAAATTCAAAGCACTAACAGGCTACCATGGAGCTGGCCTTACACAAGAATGTTCTGGCTTTGGGACTCACTGTCTCTGCACCCTTCAGTTCTTCTCCTTTTGCACCGGTCTTAGTCTGTCCCAGGTCTTAGAAGCTTTTTCTGTGGGGTGGAGGAGAAGACACATAACTAATGACTGTTCCAGGTTTATATTATTGCAGTTCCCAACCTAGAGGAGAACAACCTTCACTCTTATTTAATACATATAGACCCCAGGGAATATTTATGGTTGTTCCTGCTTAGATCTTATATCCATTCTTTGGCCAAATACTGTGGCCAGGGTGATGAGGTGCTTGACTAGCTGGACTGAAGCTATGTGTTTATTTCTGTGACAGGAGTGGGGAGCAGATGATGTGACTGGAAGCTACCCACCCCGACCAGGAATCATGTGGAATTTTAAAATGGAGAAATAGCCACGACCTCAGTGACAGGGACAGTGAACTGAAGAGGAACAGAGGAGAGAAAGACAAGTCAGCCCAGTTTATATCATCTTAGATCAGTCAGTCACTTGGCCAATCCACCCACTGATGACAAATCTATGAGCGAACCTCACTGGGAGTACAAACCACCCAGCTTAATTGTTTTCAGTCCACAGAATTGTGAGCTATATAGCTTGTGATTGTTTTGGAATGTTGTTGTTTTTGTTTTGGAATTGTTTTGTTACTCAGGAAAGGCTAAGTAATACAAGTACTGAGGAATAATATTTTATCACAGACGTACCACCAAATCTTGATGAACATAGAATTTTATTTTTGCTATCACTGAATACACATACACACACATGCACGCAGGCACACACATATGTATATATCACATATTGTTACTGCAAGATCTACCATTAAGTGTTAAGCTTATGTAGGTTATGGAATAAAGTATCCAGAGGGTTGCAACTTGAAACATGTGGCAAGAAGCATAGTGTAATAAAAAGTTGGCACCAGAGAAAAAGTGCAGACTTACTAGAGCTTGCACAGGACGTTTGCTCATTAGTAGAAAAGACAGCATGGTCGGAGCAGTAAGTTCTACTGAAATAATAACATAGTACTGAAGAATAATAATCATGTTAATAGTGCAGATGTTGTGGAGATTTTTATAGATCCGTAGAGATCTCAGTGATTTTTGAGCCCCAACCAACACCTTGATTTCAGCCTTGTAAGACTCTGAGCAGAGGACCAGTTAAACTGTTCCTAGACTCCTCACTCATGGAAATCGTGAAATTAAGAAGTGTATTGTTATAAGTTGCTTATTTTGTGCTAATTTGTTATGCAGCAATTGAAATCCAACACAGGGGAAGAAACATTAGCATGGGGTAAGCTATTAACTATTCCTGACTTAAACTATAAAGTCTATGGGGGCAGGTGCTGTGTCTGTCTATCATGATGGTTAACTTTTTTTTTTTTTTTTAAGACAGAATCTAGCTCTGTCTCCAGGCTGAAGTGCAGTGGCGCAATCTTGGCTCATTGCAACCTCCGCTTCTTGGGTTCAAGCAATTCTCCTGCCTCAGCCCCCTGAGTAGCTGGGATTACAGGCACGCGCCACCATGCCCAGCTAATTTTTGTAATTTTAGTAGAGACGGGGTTTCACCATGTTGACCAGGATAGTCTCGATCTCCTGACTTCATGATCTGCCCACCCTGGCCTCCCAAAGTGCTGGGATTACAGGCATGAGCCACTGCGCCTGGCCCAAGATGGTTAACTTTTTGAGCTCTGGGACTGAATGCAGGCCCTGCCACTTATTAGCTGCATGGCTTTGGATGATGTATCCCAGTTTCCTAATCTGTAAAATAGGAATTATAACATTATGGGAATTGAGGGGAAATAAATGTAATAGTCCATACACAGTGCTTAGCATCCCATATGATGTATGCACTCAGTAAGCTTTAGCTATCATATTCGGCTGAAATCACTATTGAATTTGTAGCAGGCAACACAGTACCCATCTTTATAGGCTTTCAGTACATATATATAGAAAGCAAGGAATGGATGGTGGAGTGAGTCATTTGAGTGGCTGACGAAATGGATAAATGGTGAATGGCTACCCAAGAGATTGCACTCATGTTTGTTTTTTTTTTTAATAGACAGGTCTTGCTCTGTCACTCAGGCTGGAGTGCAGTGATGCAATCATGGCTCACTGCAGCCTCAAACTCCTGGGCTCAAGCGATCCTCCGACCTCAGCCTTCCAAGTAGCTGGGACTACAGGAACACACCATCATGCCTGATTCATTTTAAAAGTAGAGTCAGGGTCTCACTATGTTGTCTAGACTGGTCTCTAATTCCAGGGCTCAATCCTCCTGTCTTGGCCTCCCAAAGTGCTGGGATTACAGGCATGAGCCACTGTGCTGAGCCTCCATTCATATTTCTTTAAAAAGTCACAGCTTTTATAATTTAAGCCTGTCTGTGCCTGTGGGATAAACAGCCAAAGGAAGGCGGGGCTTGTACAACATGCTGCTTGCTCCCCAGCAGTCATGACAACAGAAAACTTGTGCTCAGATGCATCACCTGGTGACCCTGACAAGGACCGCATCTGGAAATTTCCAGGCTAGGGAGACACTTAGGATTTATCCTTCCTTACTCTCGTCTTCTTTGTTTGCACTCGCTTTGTTCTCTTGCTGAGCTGCTAACTTGCTGGCTAAGTGGAAATTCACATTTTCCTTCTTTCTCTTGCCCCCACAGACACCCTTGCCCCTGGCTGCATGAAAAGGTTATGCTTGCTGAGCAGCAGGTATAAATTAACTACATGAAATATAATTATTTCATCCTGGATGTGATAGGAAGAGGGAGGAACAGAAGGAAGGTTTGCAGTGCTGAGTTTAGACTCTGAGAACATGATCCAGATAAGAACCAGTGAACTGATACCTGTTTAATAAATATTAAGAACTGGTAGGCACTGGAGTCTGGAGATTTCGTGACATATGGAATAGTTCTGGAGCTTTGCAAAGTTTCCTTTTAATGAAGCACAAATTTCCCTCGCTTATGAGAGGCCCTAGATGCAGCTGTGGAATGGAGGAAAGGCACAGAGCCTGGGGTCAGAAAGCCTGTCATGGAATCCTAGCTCCAAGTCCCATCCTCCAGGTGCAGCTGGGCAAATCACCGCTCCTCATAATACACTGATATAATGACATGCGGCAAACAGGGTTCCATGAGAAAATAAAGGTAGAAGTCTGAAGACTTAAAAAGTTGTCCCTCAGTGGATCCATTCCTCTCTCTGGAACTCAGCTTCCTCAGTGATCAAATTTGGGAGTTGGTCTGAATGAAACTGTTCTCCAAGCAGGTGGCCACTTCAGGGTACAGCAGGGAGAACTCAGGGCTGTTGACGGGGTCAGACTCTTCTCCTCCCAACATTTACAATGGAAGAAGCTGAGTCAGATTTGAATCTATTCTACATAATAGTCTTCCTGGTGAAATGTATCTTTCAGAGTTTGATCTAAAGAAATTAGCCACTCCACTGGTTGATGCCCTCATTTCCATCAATTCTCAGTATATCCTCCTACAGTTCCCAGGATTCTTGTGATTTAATCAGGGAGGTAAATGAGAAGTTAGGTAGAAGACCAAGGCGGCCACATGGTAGCATCAAGGTCGTGGAAGTTGAAACCAAAAGATTTGAGTTTGAGGTTCTACCTTGTTACTGACCAGCTACATTGCTCTTATTGGCTTCTTACTCTCTTGCTTTCAGTTTCTCCCATGTCTAATATAATCCCAACTTCCCATGTTGGGTGCTCTGGGGGTCGTGAGATGGATGTTCATAAAAATGCCCCACACAGTGCCTTGCTCCTCGTCTGCACATGGAACAGGTGCGATTTGCTGGGATTCCACACCTCTTGCTAGCCATGTTATTAAATACCAATTCCTGCCGGTCTGGATAGTACAATCTGGTTTTTGAAAGCATTCAGAGAGATGCTTGAATGCGGGACAAATACATATATCCCTGCTGTTGCTATGCTGACTTACGCAATACATCAAAGTATACTCCAACAGCAGTGCCTGTTGAAAAAAAGGAACAGGTAACCTCTCCTGGGCATCAGAGAGAGGGGCCTAATGGCTTATTTTTTTCTGCTATTCAGCTGGTTTATGCATTTGGCATTTAGCCTCAGCTCTCTACATGATATTTATCACTGCAATTAAGTTGGGGGCAGATACATTTAGAATGGCTGTGGCCAAAGAGTCGCCTGAGCTTTGTCGTCTTTATGTTGCAGGAACTGAGCACAAGTGTTGTGTCTTCCTGCTGTTCTTGGGTAGGGCAAGACTTGCCATTTAGATGATAGGAGGAGGGCAAGTCTCCGTGATGAGAATATTGCCAAAATAAGAGCTGAAGTCCTCACAATGTCTTTTCCCTACTCACCTGTCCACTGAACACAGGAGTGAAGGAACTCTTCATGATAGTGTTATGAAAACTCTAATTGATCTTTACTGAAGGCCTTCTATGTGTTGGACACTCACTGTGTCTTCTTAATCCTCTCACCATTCCCATGTGATAGGAAATCACGTTATTCCTGCTTTAGGTGAGTTAGAGGCATCCCAAATAGCCTTTAAGATTTTTGTTTATGCCTTCGGGGTTCAGTGAAGACTTTGGATGTGCTGACAAAGAGCTGAATTTTGTAGGGGAATGAGGAGTTGATATGTTGAGGAGAATGAAGAATCTTCAAGTGAAGTACATGGCCATACTCTGTAACCTTAAAGAGACAAGCAAATAAAAGGCATCACTAAATAATGTAGTGTTTCAGGGAGAAAACAACATGTTCTGTTAAAAGTCCCCAAGATTCAGGAGTTGCTGCTGTCTTGTTCCAGCTCTAGACACAGTCTATTCATTTTTTTTCAACCCCATCACCTTCATCTGCCCCATAAAGAGAACACACCTGGCTCTCCTTCCCATCAGGGTATGATGTGCTGTGTTCCACTGCTTACATGGCATGAAATGAAAGTGTTATGAAAAGCAGAAAGTGCTGGGTGCAGTGGCTCATACCTGTAATCCAAACACTTTGGGAGATGGGGGCAGAAGGATTGTTTGAGCCCAGGAGTTCAAGACCAGCCTGGGCAACATAGGGAGATTCCCATCTATGTAAAAAATATTAAAAAAATTAGCCAGGCCTGGTGTCTCGTGCATGTAGTCCCAGCTACATGGGAAGCTGAAGTATGCAGATCACTTGTGCTTGGGAGGTTGACAGTGCAGTGAGCTGTGATCAGTGAGTGAGCGGTGAACAACAGAATGAGACCCTGTCTCAAAGAGAAAAAAAAAAAAGGAAGAATTTACCAGATGCAACTAATATTTCATCAGTTCTGGCTGTTCACTGGCATTATAAACCTGAATCCATGATTTCACCATTCGCAGATCTATAAAACAAGAGCCTCTTTGGTCCACAGAGTTCTACAATCTTTATGGCTTAGACAGTTGGATGGAAGCTATTTGCAGAACAGTTCTGTCCATTCGGTTCACAAGTTTTTGGTTATAGCCTGCCAAATGTCCCAGGATTGCACTAAGTATGTGTATGGATGAGGAGGTGTGTGGGAAGACAGAAAAAAATAGGGTAGCATTCAAAAGAAAAAGGGAATCGCTTTCCTGACACCACTGGCTCTTGATTTCCCTCCTACTTTCCTCACTATTCTTTCTCAGTCTCTCGTGCTTCTCTTCCTGCCCACTCTTAAGATGTTGCAGCTCTGGCAAGACTTCATTCTCAGACCTTTTCTGTTCTTACTCCAAACTATGATAATTCTTATTTTGCAAGAGTAGATCTCCATGGAGTACAAGAGAAGGGAACTTTCCTTTTCTTCCAATTGCCCTTTCATATCTGCTCTGTGAGGCTCATTTTTCCCTGACCCTTGAATGAAGTCCAAAGCCATTCTCTCAATTCTGATCACTCTCCAATAGTCAATCGTCCTCTGGTCACTTTTAGTCACAAAAGTCTCACGAGAATAATTAACATGGCCAGTAGTGATAATCAGAATTCCATAGACAATTTGAAATTAAAACTTTTGTAATGTTGGACCCCTATGAGCTTTAATAGGGATAGCACCATGTTTAAGAGGCCAGAGAAGAGACCCAGAGCCAGCAACTGAGATGTGGGGTTGAACAAGGGAAGCTACATTTGAGGCAGACCAGTGGTGGCAGGCTGGACAGGAGAACTGTAACCACTTGTAAAAACCATGCAACTTACATCATATTTTCACTTAGCACCCTCTCCCTACAAATCTCCACCTTGCAATCTTCATTTAAACTAAAATAAAGAGCCTCCATCCCCTGTATGGCCCTGTGTTCCATGGAGTGGGCCAGCAGTTCAGGAGTTCCTCATGTGTAAGGAATGAATCTCCCAGTTGACCACTCCTGGATTCCTTAGCTTGAAATTCTTGAGCACACATTGTTCTTAGACCATAGGGTGATTCTCAGAGTATGCTTAAGTTATGTTATTGCTTTTAGATGCATCTGCCATACACAGTGAGTTCTTGGAGTATGATTCAGGTTAAGCTATTGCTGTCAGGTGCAACTGCAATACAACTTCTCCCTTCCCCTCAACAAGTTCCTCCTTCAGGGTAGAAGTCAACATTAAGAAAGAGTAATCCTCTTTCCTACCTTACTATGAAGCACTCCTCTCTTCAACACCCATTCACTCCAAGCTTTGTGATCAAGCTTTTTCTCTCTCTGTCTCTCTCTTTCTTGATCAGAGCTGTGAGAGAAAAGATCAGAGAGAGAGGAAAAGTCTTACCTGTATTGTACTGATGCATGCCTGGGCATTGATATTCTCTTCATTTAATCTATGCTCGATGTTGATTTTCTTGTAAGGTATGCCCAGAGTTCCTTGGAGATTCTGTCGCCGGGATTGTGCTACTGCACTTCCAGCAGCATGGTGGTACCTCTAGAAGACCACACATAGTTTCTATCTGAGCTGTTCTGCTGGTGCCTCTCTCTGATTGACATCGCATCATCCCTTTGGATGGTCTTCTTAGGGAAGATTTAAGATGGTTGTAGGGTGTGATGTCCCTCTCCCACATAGCCCTCTTTTGATCTCCAAGAAACACTCAGGCATTCTCATTCTTACTCTTGATGAAGTGTAGCTAACTCCCTATCCATAATCATCTGTCTCTGCCCTGGTGCCTCAGGCTGATAACACAGAATGTGACCTTTACATTCCTGCAGTCTGTGTCAGACATGAGGCCCAGGTGTCCAACGTGTACCTATTAAACTCTCTGAATAATTTATTTGAAGCTACTTTTATTCTTGAACTAAGGGGGTTTCCCCTTCTTTGTTTCCCTGTCCTGGGAGGTACACACAAAAATGCGAGAACACTCCAACTTTGTCCTAAGGAAATTCTCTCTCTGAGATTTTCAACTTCAATTTTCTTATGCCAGAAAAGGGATATTAGGTTAGAGATTGCAAGTCATCTTCTGAAATTTTCTTTGCAATTCCTGCCTAGGTGAGCTATCACCTGGCTTTGGGATATGAGGTTGGTTGGCACCTCGTTTCTCAGGGTCTCAGATGAAATGAGACAGAATGAGTCCTGTTTCCAAATCCTACCATACTTTTGCTCCATAAGCTCATCCCTTCCAATGGCTTTTGCTGTCTAGAGTCATGAATACCAAGAAATACATAAAATCAACACTGTTTTTTTTTTAAATCTAAGGACAGTTTAACCCATGTTAAAGTACACCAAAGATCTCAGATGGGAGTAGTTTTTTGGAAAGAAGTAGCTGTTTACCAAGCTGCCCTTGAAGTACCCTGGCTGATTTAGTGCTGGAGCACAGAACCCACTCATACACTGAATCCTCTTTGTAGAGGCAAGGACTGTTTTCTTTTCCTGCAGTCCTAGTTTGTCAGGGCATGGAAGCTTTTTTGCAGACCAGTAAGGTCCTGGGTAGTAGCAGACTTCTGCCTCTATGAATTGGCTACGGTCAAGGACAAGATTAAACGGACACTAGATATTAAGGATTTACTCTAATTTCATTTTAATTGTGATTTAAAATTACATACAATATATTCTTCCCTCTGTACTCCATTATTACCCTAGGCAATAAAAAATTAACCATACCTCTCTTTCATGAACTCCAGATCCAAATATCTTGCTCCCTGATGGATCATTTCATCTAGATATTCCAAAGTAACTGAAACTTAACATAAATGGGAATTATGACTTTCCTTTTTTCCAAAATTTGTTTATTATACCACTGTCTTATTTTCTTAATGGACCTCGTTTCCCACACCCCCCAAATCCTAAATCCTAACTTTAACATTTTCATGTAACATATTTCCTTCCTCCCTCACAACTCATCTGCTGCCCAATTCCAATCAACCTGGCCTTCTAATATGCTGGGAGTCTGACCCCTTTGGATTCTTGTAGCAACTCATTTTACACTCTCATCATTTCCTTTGGAAAATTGCATCAGCATCTTAACTGGCTTCACTGCATTTATTCTCACCTGCCATAACTGCTTTTTCACAGAGCCAACACTTTAACCACTTTAAATCATGTCTCCCTTTCTTAAACTTTTCAAAGGTCTTCATCGTTTAGAGTGATGGTCCCTACGATAGAGGGTGGGCATCCCAGGCATGCAAAAGATGATTATTGGGCAGTGTGAAAAGAAACTATCATAGCTTTCATTTATATATTGTTTTTATCTTTTAGGAAAAAAATAAACTAAGCTTTATTTATTCTATGGCTTGACTTTGGGGAAGTCCTCACCTAGAAGGTAGGTCAATCCCCATGTCAGGAATGAAAAATGGGAATTCCACAACATGGAGGACTTCACAGTCGTGACCGACTCCTTCCCTGGTTTTCAGCATTCCGCATTATAGTTTATGTGTTCAGTTATGTAGTTCATATCCCCTTGTTAAAAAGACTTACAGATTTGATGAGTTATTTTAAATGGTGTGAGGCCGGGTGCAGTGGCTCATGCTTGTAATTCCAGCACTTTGGGAGGCGGAGGCAGGCGGATCACCTGAAGTAGGGAGTTCGAGACTGGCCTGGCCAACCTGGTGAAACCCCGTCTCTACTAAAAATACAAAAATTAGTCAGACGTGGTGGCACGTACCTGTAATTCCAGCTACTTGGGAGGCTGAGGCAGGAGAATCGCCTGAACCTGGAAGGCAGAAGTTGTAGTGAGCCAATATTGTACCACTGTACTCCAGCCTGGGCGGCAGAGTGAGACTCTGTCTCAAAAAATAAATTAAATAAATAAATAAATAATAAATGGTGTGATCGCTACAATATTACATTGAGAGATAAGCAATTTTTTATAGCACAAGATGTTACACATTTTCTATAGCAAATAATTGAAAAGTATTGTGAAACCTAATTGCATTAGTCTGTTCGGGCTGCCATACCACAATTCCTCAGACTAGATGGCTTCAATAACATAAATTTATTTTCTCACAATTCTGGCAGCTAGAAGCCTGAAATCAAGGTGTTGGAAGGTTAGCTTTTTTTCTTGAGACCTCTCCCTTGGCCTTACAGATGGCCACCTTCTCCCTGTGTCCTCACATGGCCTTTCCCTGCATATGCCTCCCTACTATCTCTTTAAATTCATGGAAGTACTCTAGTCATATTGGATTAAGGGCTCACCCGAACAGCCTCATTTTAACTCAATCACCTGTTTAAAGATCTTATCTCAAAATAAGATTATAATCTGAGGGCCTGGGTGTTGGGACTTTAACATATGAATTTTAGGGAGATGCATTCCAACCCATAACACTTTTTTTTTCTTTTTTGTAAAATCATTGGCCTTTTTATGATGAAATGTAGTGGTCAAAATAGGCTGGCGCAGTGACTTATGACTGTAATTCCAGCACTTTGGGAGGCCCTAGAGGGCGGATCACTTGAGGGTAGGAGTTGGAGACCACCTGGCCAACATGGGAAAACCCCAACTACAAAAAATACAAAAATTAGCCAGGCGTGGTGGCAGGCGCCTGTAATCCCAGCTACTCAGGGGGCTGAGGCAGGAGAATCACTTGAACCTGGGAAGCAGAGGTTGCAGTGAGCCAAGATGGTGCCACTGCACTCCAGCCTGGGTGATAAGAGTGAGACACCGTCTCAAAAAATAAATAAATAAATAAATAAGTATTTTACCTACCATATATTTTGAAAAAAAAATTGAATACTACACTTAAACTGTATACCAAAAGTCTGTTTCTTCAAGGTAAATGTGGCGGTTTAAGAATGAGTAAAGGCCAGGCACAGTGGCACACGCCTGTAATCCCAGCACTTTGGGAGGCCGAGGTGGGCGGATCACGAGGTCAGGAGATCGAGACCATCCTGGCTAACACGGTGAAACCTTGTCTTCACTAAAAATACAAAAAATTAACCAGGCGTGGTGGCGGGCGCCTGTAGTCCCAGCTACTTGGGAGGCCGAGGAAGGAGAATGGCGTGAACCTGGGAGGTGGAGCTTGCAGTGAGAGGAGATGGCACCACTGCACTCCAGCCTGGGTGACAGAGCAAGACTCCATCTCAAAAAAAAAAAAAAAAAAAAAAAGACTGAGTAAAAAAAAAACCTGTTTGTCAAATAAAACCTGTGTTCTGGAAAGAACATTTAAAAATGGGTGTCTAAAAATATTTTCAGTGTTATATGATTTTGCCTTTCAAAAATGAATTTAAGAGTGAGATCGCCCCCATGACACAAATTTACCTATATAACAAACCTGCACATATACCCCTGAACTTAAAATAAAAGTTAACAACAAACAAACAAATAACAACAAAAAGAGTGAGAACTATGTTAACTCTCACATCTGCATTTATAACACTGGGTGTCATGCTAGACCCCTATTGAGTCCAGTAGGGATGGCATCACGTCCAGGAGGCTGAAGAAGAGGCTTGGAGACAATGAACGAGTCGTAGGCTTCACTGGGGGACGTACGTACGGGGATAGTCCAGTGGCAGTGGGCTGAACAGGAAAACCACTACTGTTTGTAAGTAGTATGTCCTTTATATAGCATTTTTACTGAGCATCCTGTACCTAGAAACCTCTACCTAGTAACCTCCATTTAAACCCAAACAAAGGGCCCCTGGATGGGGATAGGCCAGGGATTCAGACCTCCTTCATAGATAAGGAGTGAATCTCCAGGTTGGCCACTCCCAGATTCCTTAGCTCAGGATTCCAAACACACATTCTTCTTAGACCCATAGGGTCATTCTCAGGATATGCTGAAGTTATTGCTGTGAGGTGGACCTGCTATACACAGGGAAATAGAATTTTTAACCCACTTAAAAAGGTTTTAAATAAAAATATTATAGTGGGATATAAACCCATTCGATTACACACACACACACACACACACACACACACATGCAAGCACAGTTTATACATAAAAACACAACATATTCATATCAGTTCACAATAAAACTAACATCAGAGAAGACAGTTTTTAAATCAAAGACATTTTACATAATAGTGGTGGAATTGAAAGATAACCATTAAATTTCATATTTGGACCAGCTTACCCCTATGAAGAGTATTTTTGCAGCTATAGCATCCGTTAAAACCAAGTATCAAAATGAACTAAACTTAGAATCAGACACATAAACTGCTGTATAACAGAAAATTAAATCAAGATTTTTTAAAAGTCACATATTTGTTTTCATTTGTTAGTGGATAATTTTCAAAAAGATGAAATTGTGACTATCAGACATGTAAAATGAATATTTGTCATTAAATCTAGTTTATTAATTAATGAGAGAACTGTAAGATGATTAATCTAGTTCAAAGGAAAATCTGAAGAGTAGACATATTTACAGGCAATCGGGAATCCTAAAATTAATTTGCTAATAGCTGCAAAACTGGTTGATATCATGTAGGGCAACAAACTGTGTTTCTACAGGGCAGAAATCAATTGTATCTCTACTGCAGAAAATTCATTTGCATTTCTATGGACAAAAACAAATTGCATTATCATCAGTTTCTTACAGTTTACAGAGTTGTAAAATAGCCTAGTCAAAGATAATCAAAGGCATGAAGCTCTATGGGATCACATAGCCCTGAAGGGTTTGCTAGCTAATGCCCAGCATTCTGCTGTAAGAAAACCTACTAATCATTTGCACATTTAAAAGTGTTTTACAATTTTGATGTTGTACTCTCACAAATATATTAGTTAGTAGTACTAATTTTTGTGATGTAACCAAAGATTTTGGTGTATGATTAAGTAAATTTAAAATTATTTTAAAGTGTTTTTCATTTCGTTGCTATTTTCTAACTTTTACATTTACATTTCTGTCTATGCTTTTTAATACACGCAAAACAGTGGAACTTGCAAATTTAGTATTATTTGAGATAGATTCTCACTCTGTCACCCAGGCTGGAGTGCAGGGGTGTGATCACAGTTCAGAGCAGCCTTGAACTCCTGGGCTCAAGCGTTCCTGCCATCTCAGCCTCCCAAGTAGCTAGAACTACAGGCATGCACCACAGTGCTCAGCTAATTTTTTTTTTTTTTAGGTTTTTCTGATTTTTATTTATTTTATTTTATTTTATTTATTTATTTTCTTTAACAGAGATGGCAATACTTTATTTGGCTTTGTAAGAAAGGGATATTTCAGTTATTAAAGCTAAGAACAATTTGATATGTAAAAAGTGATTGAACACATAAAAGTAAAGGGAATAATGAGGCAGAAATGCATATTTTGTATCTTAACATAAATGAATAAATGTGACATCCCATTTAAAAACTAATAAAATTACATCAATCCCCAGACAAAAAACTATTAGGAGTCAACTTAATTTTATAAAAATGGATTTGTCATTTAGTGAAAAAAGTAAAAGAAAAACAATTAAATTTGTTGACTCCTGGAGCTCTATTAAAATATTTCTTCATTATTATTATTATTATTATTATACTTTAAGTTCTAGGGTACATGTGCACAATGTGCAGGTTTGTTACATATGTCTACTTGTGCCATGTTGGTGTACTGCACCCACCAATTCGTCAGCACCCATCAACTCGTCATTTACATCAGGTATAACTCCCAATGCCATCCTTCCCCCCTCCCCCCTCCCCATAATAGGCCCCAGTGTGTGATGTTCCCCTTCCCGAGTCCAAGTGATCTCATTGTTCAATTCCCACCTATGAGTGAGAACGTGCAGTATTTGGTTTTCTGTTCTTGCGATAGATTGCTGAGAATGATGGTTTCCAGCTGCATCCATGCCCCTACAAAGGACACAAACTCATCCCTTTTTATGGCTGCATAGTATTCCATGGTGTATATGTGCCACATTTTCTTAATCCAGTCTGTCACTGATGGACATTTGGGTTGATTCCAAGTCTTTGCTATTGTGAACAGTGCCACAATAAACATATGTGTGCACGTATCTTTATAGCAGCATGATTTATAATCCTTTGGGTATATCCCCAGTAATGGGATAGCTGGGTCATATGGTATTTCTAGTTCTAGATCCTTGAGGAATTGCCATACTGTTTTCCACAATGGTTGAACTAGTTTACAATCCCACCAACAGTGTAAAAGTGTTCCTATTTCTCCACATCCTCTCCAGCACCTGTTGTTTCCTGACTTTTTAATCATTGCCATTCTAACTGGTGTGAGATGGTATCTCATTGTGGTTTTGATTTGCATTTCTCTGATGACCAGTGATGATGAGCATTTTTCCATGTGTCTGTTGGCTGTATGCATGTCTTCTTTTGAGAAATGTCTGTTCATGTCCTTCGCCCACTTTTTGATGGGGTTG